CTACCCAACAGATACCGATGGAAAGGCAGTTAGTAAAGCACAGCAAGACATGACTTGGTTTAATAGGGTACATGAGATTGCTAAGACAGAAACTTTACTTACAAACTAAAATAGTCATTATAAAATTAAATACCCTCCTAAAAACTGTTTAATCTGATTAATAACATTTAACAAAGTGAAACCTTGATTAATTGGACTACGCAGAGGAGAGGGTGTCCATTAAATTAAAAAAAAAAGTCTTTATTTTATGAACCATAAGAATAATGTACAATTCTGAAAAGAATGGATTTAATATATTGTTTATGGACTTAACAACAGATGTCATCAGTTATATCGGAAATCTGTTAAACTGAGGTCCGTTAAATCAAGGTTTTGATACACACACACATGGATAAAGGGTATTAAAAGGTTTCACTAAGGGGATTAGTACAGTGTTATTCATGCAAAAACCATGACCACTGCAAAGAAAAGATAAGAATTTCAGAGGTTTTTGCATACAAAATCATGTGAAATAAATAAATAAATAAACAGTGAAGTGGAATTTGGTATGAAAAAAATAATTTAAAAATCCCAAGGAAAATGACCAATCAAAAAATATTCAGGATAAGTCAAAATGCTTTGAAAGAGCTTTGAAGAGGATAAAAGTGGCTATAAGTGCAAAGCATTAGGAAATATTAAGTCGGAAAATGAATACAGGAGGGACCTGCATATACAGCACCTTCTTTTTGGTATTCCACATTTTGGTTGGCTTCAAATTGAGCCATAGTTCATTATGTTCCACGTGCTGGTGACTGTCACTGGCGGGTGGAACAATGGCTCAGTTGAAAGCCAACAAAAACTCGGAACACTGAAAATAGGTTCTGTATATGCTGGGCCCTCATGTACTGTACTTTATGGTAATTTGAAAAAAAAAATACAAGGAAAAAAGCTGAATAATTGTTATGTAATTGTAGCTACAGTGAACAAGTTCAAAAAATAGTAAAAGCATGCATAAGCCAAGATATACAGTAAAAAACAATAATGAAAATTTACTTTACAAAACCACAGAGACCAAAGACTTGCAGGTAATTTTTTTGACTGTATAGATGATATATGCTAAAATAATTTCTCATTACACATTTCAAACTAAAACTGGAATATGCAGTTGTAATGTGGTGTCTGTCTGTCTCTCAAAATACTGAAAAATGGTATAGAAATGCCACTAGAAAATATCTGATTACAAATGGAGGAGCAAATTATTTTTTCTAATAACTAGATGCTAGAGACAGATCTATTATTGTAACTACAAACAGGTGATCACACACACACAAATACTGAGATAAATGGAAATGCTAGCAAGTGGCTCTCAATTAGCTTAAAAATATGCACAGTAAACTGTCAAACAAGATGTGTTCTTCTAGAACAGTTTAGCTACAAGATGGTAGAGAAACTGCATCATTTTTTATGCAAAATGTTTAATTATTATGGTGTAAACCGAGGGAAAAATAGCTAAAAACTGGCACAGGAAGGCTAGTAACTGATAATTTCATTATAACTACTACAAACTGCTGTGACTTTAACAGTCATTTACTTACCCTAGGGATACTATTACAAATTTTTATTTTATTTTTTATTAAAACATTGGCCATTTCCCACCAAGGCAGGGAGACCAAAAAAAGGAAAAAAATACTTTCATCATCATTCACTCCATCACTGTCTTGCCAGAGGTGCACCTACACTACAATAAAAAAAAGTGCAACATGTCCACACCCCTCCTGCAGAGTGCAGGCACTGAACTTCCCACCTCCAAGATTCAAGTCCAGCAAACCAGTTTCACTGAACCCCTTCATAAATGTTACTTTGCTCACACTCCAACAGTATGTCAAGTCATAAAAACCATTTGTCTCCACTCCTATCTAGAACTCACACACGCTTACTGGAAGTCCAAGCCCCTTGCACACAAAACTCTCCTTTACCCCCCTCCCTCCAACCTTTCCTAGGACAACTCCTACTTTGTCTTCCTTCCGCTACAGCTTTATAGGCTCTCCAAGTCGTTCTATTTTGTTCCAACCTCTCTAAATGTCCGAACACTTCAACAAACCCTCCTCAGCCCTCTGGATAATACTTTTGGAAACCCTCACAACTCCTTCTAATCTCTACGCTATGGATTCTCTGCATTATATTACACACTGCACATTGCCCACAGACAAGACATCTCCACTGCCTCCAGCCTTCTCCTTGTTGCAACATTCACCACTCATGCTTCACATCCATATAAGAGCACTGGTACCACTACTCTCATACATTCCCCTCCTTGCTTCCATGCATAACGTTCTGTCTCCACAGACTTCTCAGTGTGCCACTCACTTTTTTTCCATCACCCTTTTCCATCTTGTCTTTCGTTGATCCATCTGCTGACAAGTCCACTCCCAAATATTTGAATACATTCATTTCCTCCATACTTCCTCCCTCCAATTTAATATCCAATTTTTCATTACCTAATTTTTGTTATCCTCATCACCTTGCTCTGTCCTATGTTCACTTTTAATTTTAATTTCCTTCTTTTACATACCCTCCCAAACTTGCCCACCAACCTCAGCAACCTCTCTTTAGCATCTCCCAAAAGCACAGTGTCATCAGCAAAAAGCAACTGTGACAACTCCCACTTTGTATTAGATTCTCTATTTCTTAATCCCACACCTCCTGCCAACACCCAAGCATTCGCGTCTCTTACAACCTTATCTGTAAATATACTGAACAATCATGGTGACATCACACATCCCTGTCTAAGGCCTACTTTTACTGGGAAATAATCTCCCTCTCCCCTACATACTCAAATGTTGAATATATATTAGTGATTGATAATAAAGAGACATATTCATTCTGTGAATACAGTAGACCCCCGGTTAACGATATTTTTTCATTCCAGAAGTATGTTCAGATGCCAGTACTGACCGAATTGGTTCCCATAAGGAATATTGTGAAGTAGATTAGTCCATTTCAGACCCCCAAACATACACGTACAAACGCACTTACATAAATACACTTACATAATTGGTCGCATTGGCAGGTGATCGTTAATCTGGGGTCCACTGTATTTTTAAATTTCTGATGAGCTGTTGGAGTGTGAGCAGACTAATATTTTTGAAGGGATTCAGGGAAACCAGACTTGAATCCTAGAAATGGGAAATACAATGCCTGTACTTTAAAGGAGGGGTTTGGGATATTGGCTATTTGGAGGGACATCTAAACTGTCATATCTGAGTGCCTCTGCAAAGACAGTGATTATCTATGAGTGATGGTGAAAGTGTTGAATGTTGAAAGTTTTTTCTTTCATTTGTTTTCCTTTCTGGGCATTTTATTGACAAGGAGAATGAAATGTGCTCTATTCTTAATAATAATTTTCTCTTGGTTTTCACTCAGGAAGACACAAACACTATCCCAGTAATAAATTCTTATAGTGGACCTGAAGATGATAAATTATGCATTATCATAGTCTCTTCCGAAATGGTTATCAAACAGATAGACCAATTAAAGCAAAACAAGTCCCTGGGCCCTGATGAACTTTTTTCAAGGGTTCTTAAAGAGTGTAAAATGAAACTTTGTGAACCACTGACTAATATTTTTAATATTTCTCTTCAAACAGGTGTATGTATTGTCTAATATGTGGAAGATGGCTAATGCAATTCCTATTTTTAACGCAGGGGACAAGTCATTACCGTCAAATTACCGCCCAATAAGCCTAACCTCAACTGTAGGCAAATTACTAGAGTCAATTATAGCTGATATTATAAGAAACCATCTCGATAAGCGTAGCTTGATTAATGATACTCAGCATGGATTCACAAGGGGCCGTTCCTGCCTAACTAATTTATGAACCTTCTTCAGTAAAGCTTTTGAGGCCACTGACCATGATAAAGAATTTAATATTGTTTATTTAGATTTTAGTAAGGCTTTTGATAGAGTACTGCACCAGTAGGGTTATTGAAGCTAAAACTTTGGGTAGTTTCAAATTTTGGTTAGATAAATACATGAGTGAGAGGGGTTGGATTTGAGTGAGACTTGCATAATGAGTAAATAGAATTATCAAAACTTATTTCTTGGATAGCATTGAAAATTGGGTTGGGCAAATATTTTGTTAGTGGGAAGAATTGTAAAGGACCTGCCTAGTATGGACCAACAGGCCTGCTGTAGTGTTCCTCCTTTCTTATGTTCTTATGTTCAAGGTTTTAGTTTCCATAGGACCTTGGGTAGCTTTAAAAAGAGATTGGACAAATATAGGAGTGAGAGGAGCATGTATGTATGTATATATAATACACTTATGTATTTTACGATGTTTTTAAGTGTTTTATGATTGCTCATGGTTCAATAGGTTAAGGAAGCAGTATTGCATTATATTTCCCTACAGTATATTGGGGCACCAAACATTCACAAATTTTCAACATTCGTGAGGGTCTTGTTCCCTTAACCCTCTGAATGCAAAATGGAACTCTGTGAACCTTTAACTAATATTTTTAATTTATCTCTTCAAACAGGTGTAGTGCCTGAAATGTGGAAGATGGCTAATGTAATTCCTATTTTTAAAGCACGGGACAAGTCATTACCATCAAATTACCGCACAATAAGCCTAACCTCAATTGTAGGCAAATTACTAGAGTCAATTATAGCTGATAATATAAGAAGCCATCTCGATAAGCATAATTTGATTAATGATACTCAACATGGATTCACGAGGGGCCGTTCCTGCCTAACTAATTTATTAACCTTCTTCAGCAAAGCTTTGAAGGCCACTGATCAGGATAAAGAATTCGATATTGTTTATTTAGATTTTAGTAAGGCTTTTGATAGAGTTCTGCACCAAAGACTGTTAAAGAAAGTGGCAGCTCATGGCACTGGGATAAAAAAAGTGCTGCCATGGATCAAGTCATGGCTCACTAATAGGAAGCAGAGTGTGCATAAATGGGGTTAGCCCTTTGACTGTTTTGGTCGTATACATACGTCTTACGCACCACTGTTTCGGA